ACAAAGAAGACGAACTCTTTCGAGATCATTACGAAGAAGATAGAATGATTTATGCTCCATATTTGCGGCCAGATCTCTTGCCGAATCTCTTGTCGTTTCCACTTCACGTGAAATGATTTTGGTTTGCTGAAGTGATTTTCGACACAATCAGTTGACTCAACATTATAATATTCATAGCATGAGCCATATCATTTTCACGAATTTGATCGATACCCAACAAACAAAAAGCAACGATACCAAAATTTCGAAGAACCGAACAAAACCCTCTACATACCATCAATCGTTTAAGAAGAGGTACACCACTTCGTGATTTTCGCTTAATTGTCCAATAGACCAACAAACGATGCATTATTTCTGCATTTATTTTCAGTTTTGTTCGAATTTCTTCAACTCTGAAATAAATAATACATTCTGAATGAAAATTCCTGAAAAGCAAATATTCTTGGCTTCTCGTTTTGTGAATTTCTGCGTGCTGGAGAGAGCAGCACTCATCGATCGCCCGAAAATATGTCTTCACTGCATGAGAAGGATTTCCCGTATTCATCGATGACTATGAAATTGTTTTCACATGCAACTAACAACGTGTTGAAGAGCGATTGTTAAGAGGAGGAGAAACTAATGGAGAACGAACTTGTTCGATGGAACGACTGGTATCGAGATGGTCGGCGCGATATTCTCATTTGACTGCAATTGCTGTCGTGCTAACCGCATCAGTGCTTCCTTCAATAAATTTGATTTGGTAATACCAATAACACATCGTCCGAATGCATCAAACATTCGACAAATGGTTGTGCTAAGTGAACAGAAGAAGGAAGAATCACCAATTAGTAAACGATATAGTGAATGACTGAGCATTCGAATCGGATGAACACTTTATTAGCCGATTACTGTTCAATCGGCAGAATTAAGATCAATTACTGCGGCGAGAATAAGTTTCAAAACGTTATATATCCTAGAGATGTTTAATGAAAAACGAAACAAAACAAATTACCACTTCACGCTTCTTTCTGGCTATCTCCCGGGCGTTTAGATTCTCTCTGAAACAAAAAACGAGATGTTTTAAACGTTAATTACCAGAATTCCTCTCCGCGCTATGTCTGTGAAAGTTCATCGATATTTAGCGATATCAACGAAAGAAGCGAGCAAATTCACTGAGCACAATAACAATCGTTCAAAAGTACAATACAAATCAACCAGAATATTGTGATTTTCTTCTGATCATATCAATTTTACTATTTATCTGATCGACAATTCATTTCTTTTCACTTAATCCAAGGCTAAATTTCATCCATGCAATTTTACGTGTTAGGCAACTGGAATGATTTAAACAGTAATTGGTAAATGCTTAATCAAATAACTCGTATAAAGAACGAAAATAATCATGATGAGAGAATCAGTACAAAAACAAATAAAAAAAGCTAGAGAGCTTTATGTTTATCTGATAAATTTTCTTCGTGGTTATCCTCATTAAAAATTAATTGCTTTTTGGCCAATACAGACAACGTCTCAGCATAAGGTAAATAGAAGAGTTAACATAATGTCATGTTAAAAACAAACTTATTGAGTGGATTTGAATGAAAGTGACAAAACGATAAATATTTGACATCGGTGCCCCACTCATTCGTTGGATTCTTCACTTCTTCTGCGCGCAACTCCATACCGGCCGCACGAGCACACGTAACGTGATACGATCGCGTACACGATTTCTGCGATGCACATAGCAATTAACAATCGAATCAGTGCAATTACTCAACGAAACGAACGACAATTCATTGGCGTTACCTTTGAACACTGAAGACACGCGCCCATTTTCTGTTTACAAACCATACATCGTAACCGACAACGTCGTTTCAGCGAATTCTCAATACCGTCAATTGGCTCCATAAACACCGTATTCGCAAAATGAACCTATGATTGTTGAGTGTCACAAGCTAGGATTTGAAAAATCAATGAAGCTTTCAGAGAACAAGCGCATACGAAGGAAAACTCTCAAGATGTTCCCT